ATAATTGAGATTATTATTATTGTTATTATTATTATTATTATTATTATTATTATTATTATTATTATTATTATTATTATTATTATTATTATTATTATTAATGATATTGTTAAATGCCTAATTATTTAATTGATTTTATGTGATTAATGTGTGATTTAATAGAATAAATTATGTGTAATAATAGTAAATGTTATTGTGTGTATTATATGTATATATTTTATTCGATAAATATTTTAATTCATCGCGCAATTAAATCGGGCCCGAGTATACCTGCGTGAACCGAACCGAGCCATTGAATTTTATTTATTTTGACCCGTGAAGGTGTGACATGGCCATGTTGGGCCATATTTTATTCTCGGCCCAATTGAACGTTAAGTAAACCGGCCCAAGTGGATCACTTGTTGAGCCCGACAGATTTTTATTAAAACTCCTGCACACAAACCCTATCTCCCTCTCTCTTATCGTGCGCAGACCTCACCTCTCTCTATCCCTCTCCATCTCGTTTTTCTCCTCGCGATCGCAATGGAAGAAGGGAAATCTGCTCCCTTATCATCTCGCAGGTCACCATCACCATCAATTCCATATCATCATCATCCGGCACCATCACCAGTCACCATCGTCTTTCTCCTCAAACCATCAGAACCGCAGCACCATCGTCGTTGCGATCATCACCCTCGCGTTCCCGCACCTGCAACTCCGGCGACCTCCCTGCTTCGTTCCCAAGGCTGTTCGCTGCAGTCCCGATGAGAACCGACGACCTTCAGTCGTGCTCCTCCGTCTATTTCTACTCCCCCAGTGAGTCCCTCAACGTTGCAGCGCCTCCGTGACCATCTCCATCATCAAGAGACCACAATCGCAGCACCTCTTCAAGTCGTCATCTTCCTCGCGAGTTCCGGCCAGCCCGCCTCTGCTGCCCCGCGTGAAGCTCTGTTCTGTCGCACGAACAGTCCCCGGGCCATCAATCACAGCCGTTGTTCGTCACCTTGCTCGCGAGACCCCGTTGTTGTCCACCGCAAGCCGTCGCTGTTGTTCGCGTGTCCCATTCTCAGCCCCGCAGGACTACGTACACGCCACCCCCGCGAGCCGTTGTTGTTGAGCCCGACGGGCATGCCCCGGCCTCGCTGTTCACGTGTTTCAAACCCACAGCCGCTGCTGCACCTCCTTTCCCGACGAGACGCGAGAATCCGTCGAGCCCGGCAACCCAGTTCGTGTCCTACGTCCCGTTTCTTCGAGTTTTTCCCGAGAACGGTACCTAGTCGGACCTCGTCTCTTTATATCGTGTATATTGGTCGCATTTCGTGTTTATTAGATGCGTTTAGCATGTTCTATGAATTAATATATAAATGCCTATGATTTTATGTGTTCATAATTGGTTCATTATATATATTAATGTGTAGACGAACTCTTCGATTTTGATAAATCGGAAGAGACCTCGTCATTCGTGTATAAGTTACTGTGGAATGAAACAATTTATCATCCTTGGTCTTATGGTGAAGACCTCGGGCGATTTTATCGTAAATCGAGTCTTAGAGAAATTATCGAACGTGTTTAGTGGTTGTTTTTGTAATAAAATCATAATAAATTCTATGCTTCTCCGATTTCCATGAAATTTTATATGTGATGTCCTAAATTAATTTTATAGATCGTGTAAAAATTTCAAATTTTTCGGAGGTCTGTAGCTATTTTTAAAAATTATAGTGACTTCTGTTAGGATTCATGTTTAATTCGTAATAAATTGTGTAGTGCACCAAAATTCATGAAATTTTAATATGTTGTCAATCTGTCAGATATAGTTGCTATGTAAACTTGTTAGAATATTTGGATTAATATTGATAGGGTAAATAATTTATTTACGGTTTCTTCTGAATAGTGTTTTAATTTTGATACATTGGTTAGTTGCTGGAAAATTCTGATTTTTGGCTGAGATGCTTTTTTTATGTGTACTAGCATGTTGTAAAAATATGGGAATTTTTGGAGTTGGAATTGCTTCGGTTTTAATTACAACTCGATAACTGCTGAATCTTTTTATGAATTTTCATAATTTGTGTATTTGGAGTAAATTGCTGGGATTTTTATATGTTTATTCTTAATTGCTGAACTTTCTCCAGTAAAAATCTTATGTGCTAATTCGTTCGTTAGTTCGGGCTTTGAATTTTATGCTCGTTTTTGCTGATACCGTATTTGAATTTTATAAAATCGTATACTTTGAATTTGAGGCTAAAACTTGGTGATTTTTCTAAGTATTGGGAAGTGTATTTTTGGTTAAAATTGCAAAGTCTAATTCATAGGGCAACCTGTTCAACTTAATTTTAGTGATTATTGGCTAGTTATTGTGAAATATGATTTTTGTGTTAAAAATTGTAAATCGGCATACTTTTTGTTTCTTGTTTGTGGGACTTGGTCAATCATTACTATGATTTATGTGAACTCCCATGTATGATCTGTTTGAGTATAGTGTCGAGTCTAAGTGTTCCAACATCCACAGGACTTCACGAATAACTTAGTCGAACCAAGTTCGACTAAGTCTGATTTGTGTCTTCCGTTTAAGTCGGGATAGATAGTAATTGTAGGATCTTGACTTAATGTAGGTTTTTGATGAGTCAAGCCTCGACCTACGCCTTTTTGAATTTGTTATCGTCAATCCGAAATCCAGGTGGGTTTACTTATTCAAAACTTGCTATGTCATATATGTGTGTTTCTTGTTGAGATGGTATGATTTTAGTATGTATGTAAATCATGTAGCCTATCGGCGTGAGCCGATGTCGGCCGTCGGTACGGTTGTCCCCATCGATTTACGGTACGGTTGCCCTTGCGAGGCAAGTCTCCGTAAGACCTAATGAAAGGCTGTGTCCGTTACAGTGGCACGTACCCCCATGAGTTAGGGTAATGAATCCCCTATCCTTGGCTAATGAGAGATGTGTACACGTGGGTAATATGTTATGATGTGATGTGATTTGGAGACGTGACAAATGATTGCTTTATGTTCATACTCTAACCATACCAACTGTTATTATTATATATGTGCATAGTGGTGAGCACGCTTTTCATCTTGTGTTCATCCCCACCTGCTCTTCACCGATGCAGGTTAAGCAACAGCCGGGTGACGAGGAAGGGACGAGTTGGGTCGGTCTAATTACTTATGCATTTTAATTAATTCCGCTGAACTTGAATAAGTCTGTTGCACGTTATGTTTTGTGCAAACTATTTTCGAACCTTGTGTGTTGGTTTTGAAACTTATGAACCTTTGTTGTTTTAAGATTGATGTTTGGTTATTTATTTCATGAGTTTATGTTGGTTAATGAAAACCGATTGTGAAAACCGGGTAATGAATCCCCGTAGGCCCAGATAAGACTTGGGATATGAAAAATGTTAGTTAACACCCACTAAATTTTTGAAAATGATTTTGAAAATTTTATACTGGTTTTTTTGGAAAATCCGGAATTTCTGTAAAATCAAAGTGGGGTGTTACATATGTGTTGAGCTCGAAATTGTTGAGTATCTAAGGACTATTATCAGCTGGAGAAGTAAGGTATATAAGATCACAAGGGCGGATTGAACAATGCAAGAAATGGGGAACAAAGGGCCTTACCTAGGTGCATGGGAGTTAGGGCAATGCTTGGATGGACTTGCCATGGTCTTAGCACAAAATTTCAAGGAATGCAAGAGCATCTAGGCTTGGGGACAAGGTCCGGTCATGCACTAAAGACAAGGGAACAAAATCCATGCATGATGAATATAAAATAATTCCAAGCCCATGCTAGAATACTTAAGGTAAAAATAATGCTAATGATGGATGACTAATGCTAATCCATCTTAGTCTTGAACTTAGTTAAAAAAAAAATAGCTAATCATCCTCTAATATAACACATGGCTTAAGACTTAGTGGTAGGATGGGCTAAATGAGCCTTGGCTCGGTACCAATGGCCTGGGCGAGGTAACTAGGGTTAGGTGTGAGATAAACGATGATTCGACACGAATGAAATATTGAACTTATAAACTAACATACATGAGCACATAATTCAATATAAATACAAATATAACCACATAGTTCATGTAATAATTCACTTAGCCAATGAACTCAGAAGTCTGAAAATTACCGATTTCACTTTAAAGTCGAGCAAGTGAAACCGTTCTGATATTATAACTGATCGGTGTGTTACATTATAACTGAACAATAACCATAATGTTCAACACAATGTTCAACATGTATAAACATCAATACTTGGCTAGGCATGCACAAATCATACGAGGCAAAACAAGGCTTGGAAACACCTAGAACTAGCCTCTCTTTTCTTCAAACATAAGCATGTATTGTTAGTATTTTTTACTTACATGTATAACACAACTTGGGCTGCAAATTAGCAATTATACTCACATCTTCAGCAAGGATAAGCACTCAAAACCGGAGCTCAGCTTGCTTACTCAAAACAAGGCAAAATCAAACAAAACAAATTTTCTTTTCTTCTCTAACCTTAAGGAGTCTAACATGCTTCTAAACTCTTAATTAAAACGGAAACAAGTTAGCAAAATTCCACATAATCTCGGCCAAATGAAGGCTAAAGGTCTCAGCTTACTTATTAACTAGCATAATTTTTTTTTTTTTCAATAAAAAATAATAGTTACAATTATTGTGCGGATGAATTTCCCGGACGTTTAAATAGCATATCAAATCTTAATCTTG